CCCCGAGGCAGCATAGTGCAATGGGGACAAACTACGCTCTGGGGACAGACTCGACATGTTCAGGTCCTGGCTCCATTTACTGGCTGTGTGACCTTAGTCAACTAATTTTACCTCTCGGACCCTCAGTGTTCTCATCTGCATGATGGGTGTGATAGTGAGTGCCTACCTCACAGGGTGCTTGGGAAGGTGAAAGTCTGAGCCTCTCCTGAGTTGTTGCTATTTTCATATTATGAACTGAGGTCGCTGTCAGGCAGTTTTAGGGGCCAGCCAAGGTGCAGAGAAGTGGAGGGCCCCCTGGTGGAGGTGTGATGTGGTCTAGGACCTGGGCCTTCTCTCCTGTCTCCGCCCAGGGGAGGCTTGGGAGTGGTAATAGTGTGATTCGGAGTCAGCGGCAGAGAGCTCAGAGTGGAGGGCAGACGGCAAAGAAGAACCGGAGGCCCCGAAGCTGGAACAAGAACGGGCATGGCTCTGCGGAGGCTGAGGAGTAAGCCGCTGTGGGAAGGGCCGGGAGGGATGCTGGGTGTCAGGCCCCACTGGGGGTCAGTGTCCTGACCCTGACCTCTGCCCCCTGCCCTCTCCCTCCTCAGTGTTGTTCCCTCTTCTCCTCGGAAACCCTCCTTCCCTTTCCAGTGGGCCTGGGAGAGCTACACCACAGATGGTCAGGCTCCGCTTCGGCCTGGCTCCCTCTCCGCCCCCGCGGCCCCCCAGCACAAGTTCAGCTGTAAGTGCACTGACAGCTGTCTAGAGGCCCATGACTTATGCTGGAAGATGAAGGTGCAACACCTGGAGAGGAGACAGCAGCTCCAGGCCTGGGACGTCTCCATCCCTTCTGGCCAAGGGGAGGGCCGAGAGCTGGAGGGTGGCCTCCAGCCACCCTGCAAGAAGTCAGGGTCAGGATCGGAGTCTGAGGAGGCTGCTGAGGAGGCTGAGAGGGGTCTGAGCTCTGGGGAACTGCCCCAGTCTCCCAGGAGGAGGTCGACTTTGGAGGAGGAATGGTTTGCAGAGGAGCCAGAGGAGGCTGAGGAGGAGGAGGAGGAGCACAAGGCCCCCCGCAGAAGGAGGGCAGGTTCTCGGAGAAAGGGGTGGAATTCCCGCGCAGAGGCCTCCGAGAAGAGTGAACTGCAGGGCCAAGGGAGCCATCCCAGCTCCAGTGACCCCCAAGGACCACAGAGGAGGAAGGCAAGGGCCACGGAGCGGGAAGGGATGTGGGACCTGGAGAAGATGAAGAAGCAGATAGAGCAAAACTTGGACCGTGGTGAGTGTGGGGCTCAGCCCCTGGGTTCCCGAGGAAGTTGCACAGGGGGAGAGAGGTGGGGAGCGCCTGGGCCAGGAGTTCCCACAGGGCTGGCCTGTGCCCCAGGTGCGAGGTGGGATTGCCCATTGGGCCAGGAGAGGTAACTTCTCCCACTGGGATAGGCCTCAAAAAGCATCCCTGGAAGGCTTGGCGGATTGCTATCCAAAACTGCAACAGGAGTGGGAAGGCCCAGGCCTTGGGAGAAGATGAGACGCCGTTTGCCAACTTAACCACCCGAACCTTCCACAAACGGCAGGAGGCCACCAGGTAAGGTGGAAGAAGGAGTGTGGGGGCCCAGGGCAGGGAGTAGAAAAGGAGCCCATTCTCCAAGAGACACTTACTATTCATCCTCTCATTCATTCCTGCATTTATCCAATCATCTACTGATCCATCAGTCCATCCATCTCTGTCTGTTGGCCAGCGGGCCCCACATTGGGGATCGAGCCTGCAACCTGGGCTTGCGCCGTGACAAGGAATCAAACCGTGACCTTCCTGGTTCATAGGTCAACGCTCAACCACTGAGCCACACTGGGTGGGCCATCAATAATTTATAAACTGAGTGATTAATGCAACACATATTGAGTATATACTCATGTATCCTTAGGATATAAAGATAAAAAAACTTTCCCTAACCTGTTTGGCTCAACATAAAGGGCCAGAAGGTTGAGAACCACTGGGTTGGCCAATGGTCTATTAGCACAACCAACTTTTCATTCACTTCCAATCTTCTATCTATCAATAATCAATTAATTAATCTATTTTTATTTTAAAAATATTTTTACT